GATTAGTACTTGAGATACCCGTGGAAAAGCTGAAAATTAACTAATTATGCAAATTAGGTGATTAATATGCACAAATATTTATCGAAAACAATCAATCTCTGCATAGTCCTTGAGTATGTAAGTACCAAGTTTCATTGAAATGTAATGCTAACTACTTATATCAAATGCTGAAAATTAATTAATTATGCAAATTAGGTAATTAATATGTACTGATATTACCATAAAAACTATCAGGTCTGTGCAGTGTCGTATGACATCTATGTACCAAGTTTCATTGAAATGTGATGATTAGTACTTGAGATATCAGTGGAAAAACCGAAAATTGACTAATCATTATGCAAATTAGGTAATTAGTATCCACGGATTATTACCAAAAACTAATCAAAACCTAGCATTAGTTCAGAGCATCTATGTACCAAGTTTCATCAAAATCCAATGAGTGGTTGTTTAGATATCTGTGGAACAGTCATGGAACCACTAAAAAATAGCTAATTATCATGCAAATTAGGTAATTAATATGCACAGATTTTTACCAAAAATTAATCAAATCTGCGCATATGTTCAGAGCATCTATGTACCAAGTTTCATCAAAATCCAATGAGTGGTTCTTTATATATCAGTGGAACAGTCATAGAACAGCTAAAAATTAGCTAATTATCATGCAAATTAGGTAATTAACGAGCATGGATTTTTACCAAAACCTAATCAAATCTGCGCATTGGCCCAGAGCATCTATGCACCAAGTTTCATCAAAAACCGATGTATGGTTCTTGAGATAGCAGTGGAACAGTCGGACACACATACACACATACACACACACACATACAGACACACTAACTTCAAAGACTCCCATTTTGTGCTTCGCACATGGGAGTCAAAAATCATTGAACTTTGCATAATGTTACTGTCAAAATAAGATGTTCAAGATGGATACAGTTACAAGTCAGCCAATACCTTTATATAGTTGACAAATGTTATTCACATTGCGATGTAAACTGTAAACACTATTAAGTATTCACTGGTTTTTAATTTCGTTATTTTAGCTAGTTAAACTCATTATTAGATCTCATTGATGGTCAAATAATGTATATATACCAAGTTTGAACAAAATTAATGCATGACTGAGATTTAGGGTAGTTCTGGGATAACAAAAACAGTTGATTTTGAAGAATTTTAACTGTAGTCACTCACTGGCTTGATGGTCTCTTATGATCATTATTAACTGAAACCCTGAGTGGTTTTCTTTTTATTTCTTGTTCCTCTGATATTACATCATCAACTTCACCATTCACTGTAGGAAATGGATGATCTTCCAATGTTATGACTCTTGGTGGAGTTGTCAGGCCAACAGGTGTTTGACCTATAATGGGAAAAATTAATCAACAACTTATAGATATGCATGTTTCGTCATATGTCATTGATAAAATGTGAATTTGATTACAAATGGTGTAGCCTACATGAAAATTGTGATTCTGTTAAAAGGGAACCGATACTATAAGTAGGGGCAAGATGGCCACCGCAATTAGTATGCTAATCCGAACCGAGCTCCAGGAATTGTGCCATTTGCAATGTTTAGAGATCAAGCTGTGATTCCAAATACATTTCTACGGGGGCATGAATATGTACGCTAGCGATTACACTCATCTGGTTGGGCTTTTGATGTATAAATGTTGCTGTTTTCGGTCGAAACATGCCGCGACATGTAAAAATCATTAGTTTAAAATGACGACTAGTTAATTAAGAGTTAATTACCAATGAGCAAATGGTGCAATCCATGGGATTTATCAGTTCCCTTTTAAGGCTTTCACAATGACAGTTGACTGTTACGTTTCAGCAATTCTACTCTGCACCGGATATTAAAGCGGCATTATGCGACACTTGACATAGCAACACTGAAATGTTTGCCTGGTCGCCAAATAACTAATAACTCTGGTGAGTGTGTGAGCATTATTTTGGACATTGTTAGACCCACACTGTTGGTGGCGCTGCTTCCTCAGTTCATTGTGAATCACAAGTATATTAGTATAATTGCTGCATCAGTCTTGGAAATGTACACTATCTGTTTGTTCCTTAGTTATGGTATAAATAAATAAACGGAACCAGTTTGAGAGATTGGTGTGTTAACTTGTACATGTAATTGCTACTTGTAATCTGAATAAGGTGAGACAATTGTAAGCTACATGTAATTAGCTAAGAGTTTTCATGGCTTTCATCAACAATGTTTTTAATTGGCTGTTCCCGATAAAGCTGGGAGAAAATGGATACACTCAGAACAATGACTGAGCTCACTGATTAGTTCAAACTAGCACCACTAATTTAACATACAATTCCACTCAAAATCAGACTTGCTAACAGCCTTCATGAAATCAATCTTTTTTTTTTTTATATTGTTTCAATGATTTTAATCAAGGTCTGTAGGTAATAACAAATTATATTGCATTTGATGAGAACAATTATGGAATTATGGAGAGATTAAACACGTAAATTTGGCGGTATTTTACGGGGTACATGTATAAGGAAATGCGAATTCCAAACATGGAATGAATACGCACGTAAGCGTCCTCTAATAATAAAAACAAACATGGCTGTCATTGGGGTTTGACTGGACCCACACAAAAAAGTTCTCTGATTCTGTTCTAATCTTTGTGGATTTCGGCATTCCCATGATGTATCCTTGGAAGGAGAAGATGTATAATAATATGGTTATTACGAGGATACCTCAAGTATGCACTCAGACAGTACGCTGTCGCATAGACCTCTGCTGCGTAACGGTCGATACTCCAGCTGTACTGTCTTCGTGCATACTTTGAGGTGTCCTTGTAATAACCTCATATTATTAAGTATGTAAATACTAGTATCCCAAAAAACTTTCACAATTATCAAACCCCACAGAATTTGTTGACGTCACTACAACGTTGACACTATGACCTTTTTTTGTCCTGTTTTTACGTTTTTCCAATTGAACAGAAAATGGTCTATTGCCTTTAAAGACCTGGTAGGTAGTTTGACCATGATTGACATCTGTACAGTACAAACACTGCTATAACAGAAATGCTAAAACACTCACCTGGTAGTGGTGGATCTAGAGGATCA